ACAGAAAATGAAGGCTTCCACAAAGCTGCCACTTACTGCAGCCTTTGGACAAGAAAGTGATTAGGTCAGAAAAGGAAGCCAGAAAGCGTGCATTCAGCATGCTCCTATATTTAAAATGGAGGTGCTTACCTGTGCTTTCTCTCATCACTGGGCGACAAAAGGTAAGAGGAACCAATTCATATACTAGCATTAAGAATGTATCCTTTTTGAGTTGAGCCAAGTTCAGTAACATGGGTGAAAATTCTAATATTCAACAAGCTTTTCTCACATGGTTATCTTTGACCAAACCCACATGGGCAATGCTTCACTTCTCTGATCAGCTATGTGTAGCACAGTATGCTTAAAACCACAGCATCAGGATAACAGAGTGTCCTAGCTCCCCCTGACTGAAAAAGAACTGAAACTCACAACTGCAGTTTTGCTGATGGTTTTTCTTTTCAGACCAGACTGGTACATAAGGCAAGTCACAGGTTACAGGAGTCAGTGGGTATAAGAGAGCCAAAAGGCATGGCTAAGCATGAGCTAAGATGTTGAACCAACAAGCTACACATCCCCTTTGAAGAGTGGTGCAAGCACAGCAAACAGGTGAGTTCCTAGACTGGACAAGCAGTCCTTCTACTGGGTTAGGTTTGAACATGCCAGAGATTCTGTGTTCTAGGCAATGGATAAGGGGTAAGGACCAGCCAGGACACGGGTAGGACCGGGACGGGTGCACTGTGGGTTAAACCTCAGCGCCTAGGACTTGCCGATCGCATGGTCGGCGGTTCGAATCCCCGCGGCGGGGTGCGTTCCCGTTGCTCGGTCCCAGCGCCTGCCAACCTAGCAGTTCAAAAGCACCCCCGGGTGCAAGTAGATAAATAGGTACCGCTTTACTAGCGGGAAGGTAAACGGCGTTTCCGTGTGCTGCGCTGGCTCGCCAGAGCAGCTTTGTCACGCTGACCACGTGACCCGGAAGTGTCTGCGGACAGCGCTGGCTCCCGGCCTCTAGAGTGAGATGAGTGCACAACCCTAGAGTCTGTCAAGACTGGCCCGTACAGGCAGGGGTACCTTTACCTTTTTAAGGACCAGCTCAGCATCTGAGAGACTCCCAGCTACCTCCTCAGAAGATGGCTCTTGTGCAACCAGGGGAGTACCAGAGGCAGCTGCTTGGCCTGCAATGCTTGGGCAGCCATATCTGAGGGGTTGGAGACAGTGATTTCTTCTGACAGATTGTGGATCTCCACCCCCAAGCCCACTAGGATCACACACCTCTAGGGATTTAGCCACCATGACTGCAAACAAACCAGCAGTGGCAGAGCTTCATGCTCTGGCACCGGAGGTGGGTGGGCAGAGAGCAGGCGGGGCGTGGTGGGTGCGCATCCCAGGGGCGCGCCGCCTGCAGGGGCATGGTGCCCAGTGCGGGTGGGGGGCAGCCATGATGGCACCCCACCGTGATAATGCTGCCGGGGGGGCAGTGCACTCCCCCCGCACCCCTCTTCCTTCACCAGTGCACACCAGGACCCTCTCCTGTGGTCCTATGCAAGTGCTAACTTCTCCCCTCCCAAAACCTAGTAGCAGTTCTTTCAACTAGAGTGACTCTGTAGTTCTACTAGCACTGAAAAATCAACAACACAATACTAATGATAACTGTCTATCCTAGCACTCTCCATATTTTCTGGGGAAAGGTGAGTGCACTGTCCCCCAAAAGTATATTACTTCCAAACCTGTGTGAATATGTATGTATATATCCATCACCACATACATGCTTTTAATAATACATTTCAGGCTGTGAAGTGGTTTTTACCCCATAAAACAAAATCAGAATTAAAAAGGAGAAAAACCTTCTCTGCTTTCTTCAATCTACCCATCAATTTTCAATTTTCCAAGATTGCTCTGATTAGCAAAGGAATAAGATGTACTTGCAATCAAAACTAATCTCCATGGTTCTAAATCAGCAACAACAATAGGTTCATGCAACACTAAGCCATGAGTTAACCACAAAGTTAACTCATAAATGACCAAAGAAACTGCAAGCTTGCTTTCGGGCAATGTTTTGTTGTTATTGTCATTCCAGGTCTCTAGCCTTGGTGCCTTACCTGAGCATACCTGGATGGGTGGCCAAACAATCTACCAGTTAAGAAAGGAACAGTGGCTTTGCAACCTAATGCCAAGCAGTAGTTAAAGATAAATCAACAAACAGTGAAGTTCACATTAAAGTTTTTTGACAGTAAGCCAAACCTAGTTAAGCTCACATAGAAAAAAAAATCAAATGATTAAACACAACAGTAGTTTTCATAAACCTTTACAGTGGTGCCGCCGCAAGACGAACGCCTCGCAAGACGGAAAAACCCGCTAGAACGACGAAAGGGTTTTCCCGTTTTGGAGGCGCTTCGGCAAAACGAATTTCCCTATGGGGTTGCTTCGCAAGACGAAAAAATCTTGTTCGCCTCCCCGCCGGGTTTTATTCCGCTTTCCCCCCTTTTCCTAAGCCGCTAAGCCGCCTATCAGCTGTTCCGCTGATAACCCGCTTTAACAGCTGATCGCGAAAAGCCGCTAGACGCTGTTCGCGCTAGATTCCACTAATAGCTGTCAAATGGGCTTGCTTTCGCAAGACGAAAAAAACCAGCTAGACGAAGAGAATCGCGGAACGGATTCTTTTCTTCTTGCGAAGGCACCAACTGTAACTTAACTGCAATCCTAACTCCAACTTACTTGAGAAGTATAGCCCCATTGAATTCAATAGGACTTTACTTTTCGAAGGTAGAACATGGTTAGGGCATTGCAACTGAGTGTTGTATGCAGAACAGGCTATTCCTCTTTCAGATAACCTGCCTCAAACAGATTTTGAGGGTAATATAGGATACACCCACCGTTTGCTAATATAAGCTCCTTGGCGGAATGGTAGGGTGTAATGTGATTAAATAAATGTGTGGTAGAGCTATGGGATATGGCGGTTCCAACAAAGCCTAGAAACCAGTGTTAGAAACTCATATATAAGCCAGGCGCCAAATGGCTTCTTAAACTAAGGTTGCAGTCGCCAAAACAGAATGTATACTTGCCATTTGGGGGCAAGATGGCTCTAAAGGAATATTCTTCACAACTGTGAGCAGGGCAGTGGGGCGGGGTAAGTGAAGGCAAACTACAACAATCAACTATAACATTTTTCACTGCTCCTACTCAGGCTGCACAGAAAAATGCATTTTGGTTCCTGAAATTCATTCTGATTGTGCATGTAAAATATAACTGATAGAATTCTACAGGATGGGGTATCAGTGTGTGTCAAGATCCAATGATCCCCAGGCATGACTCTCCAGATGACGGAGATGTCAGGTGCCATGCCCAGGCATCTTCACTTGGTTGCAAGTGGCCAATAGTCAGGTGCAAAATGCACCTGGCGCCTCGTTAATTTCAAACGCTGCTAGAATCTTCCCTGAAGCCCACCTAGAAACCTCTGTAAGCAGGACAAACCTACCACTCTCCTATTCATCTTTATTTTTGTTGAACAAAACTGAACAGTTAGCTAGTGTGACATAAAGTGCCTGGATGGAACACCGTTGGATATAAGCTGCTCTGATGTTTCTTAAAGAAAAGTAAGTAACATAATGAGCAAGGTACACTGAATTAAAGAGAAATGAGCTCAAGCTGGAGGTCCACATTCCACGATTATTTAAAAAAAATCAGATAGAAATACTGATAAATTATGTTAATTTACCTAAGTGTTTTTGAAACAGCCTTGTATTTAGGCACTATCCTGACAACCACAGGCAAGTGCATGACAAATGAACAGGCTGGTGGAGAAGGCATGAAGCACTTCATTCCTCCCCTGTGCCTAGTACAGAAACTGCAATGAGCTGCTGCTCTTCTGTAAGCCGTCAGAAGGCAAGTAACATATAACTAACTACAGACATGTATTTAATTAATTCAGTATTACTTACAGACTTAAAAACTAAAACAATAGTGCTTATAAAGCTAGCCCAAACTGTGAAAACAAGGGAAATTGCTGCCCTAGGCTCCTTTGGGAGGAAGGGTAGGTTGGAAATTTAACAAATAAATAAAACAGATTCTAAAGGGTAGTAACAAAAGATATCCATAACACCAAGTGTCTTCTGCCACTAAAGGGCAAGAAAAAGTACATTTAAACTCCAAACATTGACATAAAATTTGGTAGAATATTGCTCTACAAAAATAAAAAAGGCTTTAAGGTACAAAATGCATTTGCTTTGATGCAAAAGGATCATGTAGTATTTTTAACTCCCACTGAAAACTCTAATGCATGTGATGTCTTGTTAGGTTCTTCAGTTTTGAATCTATTGTTGTTGTTTAGTCGTTTAGTCGTGTCCGACTCTTCGTGACCCCATGGACCAGAGCACGCCAGGCTCTGAATCTATTAAAACGTGGCTTGGAATTCCTGGATCAGTGCTCATGCATCAAATATAAAGTAAGTTAACTACACTTTTGGAGTTGTGCTTTTCTAGATTTTTGAACTTTGCTCCCATCTAAACATTACCCTGTACTCTTAGCAGCTAAAATTTCCTGACTTTTTGTCTTTCATAATGATCAGTTTTAAACAGTTAAGACATAAATGCAAGACCAAAATAGACCTATTCATTCTTCAAAAATATGAAAAAGCTAACGAAATTATGTCATATCTGAGGTTACTTCACTCCGTGAGCATGGTCTATAGCCTCGAACCTGCTCAGCTTTAAAATTCAGTTCCATATGAAAAAATCCACACTCAACATCTATTTTCCTCTTCAAGTATACTTCAGTTTGGTATTAATTCCTCATTCCAGTTTTATTCAGGTTGGTCTAATTTGAGAGTCAATGAACAGAGACCTCGACTTTAATCTAGAAGATAAAGTCCCATCTCAGCTACAGACTCCCTATAAATGTGACCCTTAGCCGCAGTTCTGTTTGAAAAATGGAAATAATAGTCTATCTCCTCATAGGACTGTTGAAAGGACAAACATGATAGTAGTAAATTAAAAGGAATATGCTACTTCTGATTCTATTAAACTCACAGAATGGTGCGGCTGCTTGCTGGTGCCGGACCTGCCTGGTACTGGTGTTGGACCTGCCTGGCGTTGCTGCTGCAGATGTAACATAATAGAGATTTTACACTTCTTTTCCTCTATATAAAATATGAGCCATGTGTTCATTTAGAAAGTGTCTTTCCCCCAACCTTTTATACAGATCCGTTTTCCATTCGCCACTACTTTGATTTAAAAACCCGGCCTTCCATTATATAGACTAACTAATAATTTACTGTGGCATGAGCTTTCTTAAGGGATACTTCATCAGATCACAGTTACCTTTCCATGTAGGCTAGCAAATATGTCACAATTTACTAGACCTTTAGAAATACTACTCCATGACTTAAACACTTGCTTATAATGGAAGTAGTTGCCCTGTGCTAGTTAATGTGATTATTTTGAAGTAATTACTTATATCATTCACATAATAACTGGAAGGCTGGAGGGCTCAGTTCCAAATCCTGTATTTAGAGTCAAAACTTAGCCATAAAAGATATGTGCCTCTAAGCATGACAGAGTAGCTTTTCTTCACCATAGAGCAGTAATGACCAGCCTGTGCATTTTTAGAAATATTATAAAGTCATGCCCCTTAGAACAGGGATAGAATGACATCATTGTTTTCTAAATCAGCCTCTATTTAAAATTAATCCTTTGCATTGGAGAAATGACCATCAATATTAATGCAAACAGAAAGACCCTCTTTTACAAATTGAGCCTGCCTTAATCCCACTCAGTTCTGAAATCTGCTACAATTGCTGGCAAATATGTAGCTCAGTTTTCTTAAGAGTGTTGCACTTTTCAATATGCATGCCTATTTCAGAGCTTGCTACAAGCAGCTATATGCATGCCTACTGTGGACAACAACTGCCTTAAAAGATCACATGTGACCAGAAGAGAAGCACCAGAGAGGCAGGAACACTCAATATACACAACATAGTCAGGTGAAACTTAAGAAGCTCTTCAAAGGTAGGAAATAATTTCCATCCACAGCAACAGAAAGGGTGCTTCCAACACATAACCAGAAGAAAAGTAATTTTCACATCATTTCCCTTCCCTCATGTAGCAACTTGAATTCTCAAAAAAATCTGCTCCCAAGGTTTGGGGGACTCATAGGAACAGCATGTGATATAGTGTCACAGATTAAAAAGGTAGTATGATATAGAATGGAGGAGCCAATCTTCATCTTAGTGGAAGCTTCCATTGGATCACACGCTCTTCCTTTCGCTGAAGGACTAGTTATATGCATGGAAGGGCACCCAGAGACCCAATCTGTTTCCTTCAGGAATAAATAAATTCCAAAGTTAAAATGTATTTAACAAAATGATTGCCTGAATTGTGGAAAGTTGCAGAAAGGGAGGAAAAAATACTAAGCTGCACGACACTTTAAAATGTAACCACACAAGGTGATTCCTTCCAAAACCAACTCTGTCCATTAGTAGCCTAATTAGACAAAAACAAGTAGGGTCCTGTAACAAAATGTTGCAGCGTAGAGTGATTCTGTTTAGGGTTTAAGTTGCTTCACTCCATTCCTCTTCCCCTTGACCACAACAGCCAGTATTCTGTGCCCACTGAATGCTGCAACATCTCTGTGTGCATGCTAGTTCAAAACAGCTGTGAAGCATCTCAAATTACCATTATAGGTGTTTAGCCAAACCCTTCCCACAGATTTGTCCAGATCTAAGTACAGTGGTGCCTCGCAAGACGAAATTAATTCGTTCCGCAAGTTTTTTCTTCTTGCGAGTTTTTCGTCTTGCGATGCACGGTTTCCCATAGGAATGCATTGAAAATCAATTAATGCGTTCCTAGGGAAACCGACTTCAGACCAGGTCCGGGGACAGTCTGTCCCCTGACCTCTTCTGAAGGCTGGGGGGGGGACAAGGGCTTTTCTTCCCACCCCCAGCATTTTAAAAAACCCTGGGACAGCGGAGGGCTTCTCCGCTGTCCGGGGCGATCTTAAAATGCTGGCGGGCGGCATTTTAAAATCGCCCCGGGACAGCGGAGGACTTCTCCGCTGTCCGGGGCGATTTAAAAGCCCCTGGGAAGGCAGGCAGGGGGGACAAAGACTTTTGCCCCCCGCCAGCCTTCAGAAGAGGTCCTGGACCTCTTCTGAAGGCTGGCGGGGGGCGAAAGTCTTTGTCCCCCCTGCCTGCCTTTAAAAGCCCTCCCGGAAGAGCGGAGAAACGCGCTGCGTTTCTCCGCTCTCCCGGGAAGGCAGGCAGGGGGGACAAAGACATTTGCCCCCCGCCCTCCTTCAGAAGAGGTCCAGGACCTCTTCTGAAGGCTGGCGGGGGCGAAAGTCTTTGCTCCCCCCCGCCTGCCTTCAAAAGCTGTCCGGCCAAGGCTTCACGGACCTCTCCGCAAGCAGCGGCAGCGCTGCCGCTGCTTGCGGTGAGTTGCCGGCATGCCGAAGCCTGCGCGCGCTGAGATCAGCGTGCCCAGGCTTCGCGGACCTCTCCTGCCTTCAAAAGCCGTCCGGGATAGCGGGAAGTGCTTCCCTGCTATCCCGGACTGCTTTTAAAATGCTGGCGGTGGGGAGCAAAGCCTTTCGGCCCCCGCCAGCCTTCCTGGACCTCTTCTGAAGGCCGGAGGGGGGGGAAAGGCTTTGCTCCCCACCGCTAGCATTTAAAAGAGGTCCCCGGAGATTTCCCTATGGGCTTTCGTCTTGCGAAGCAAGCCCATAGGGAAATTCGTTTTGCGAAGCGCCTCCAAAACGGAAAACCCTTTCGTCTAGCGGGTTTTCCGTCTTGCGAGGCGTTCGTCTTGCGGGGTACCACTGTAGCTCCAACAACGCTATGAGCAAATAATCAATAGGCCATGTATTGATTGGCAGCTTTCATATATAGGTAACATCATTAGGAACATCATTATTACTGATACATAGTGGCTAAGATGCCATGGGAATTTATAACAGTATTGTGCTTTTGGATTTGTTGCTGCATGAGCATAGACAATAAATCTGGTAGGGGCATCAGTGGCAGGGAACAGATTGACCCATCGGCAGCTAGCTGGCACTTACAAGAATTCCAGCGTGCCAAGGACCAATTGGAAATGCGTTGCAATTCTAACTTGCCAAGGACCAACTGGAAGTGTATCATGTAAGGTGTGGGGCAAATGGTGAGATTTGGGGGAAACAGCCTCACAGGCCAAATTAGGACCCCTGCCTGGCAAAATTAAACCTGCAGGCCAGAGGTTCCCTACCACTGCTCTAGTAGCAGACGTGGGTGACTGAATGCCTATCAGAATGGAAAATTAAAAAGACAGATAATGTTTGAGTTTCTCCAAAACAGTGCAGCAATCATCTGTAAGTTTTCAAGGCTGAGGGACTGGAGTTAAGAAAACAACTTATCTAATAGTCTAGTGGGGGAACTGTCAGGTTCACAGTGAAAGCCAGAGACAGTCTGTGTTTGCTGCTACTTTCTGTATGGTAATGTGGGGTGGGAAGACTCTGCTGTCCTCTCATAACTACACTGAATTCCTGGATTTCTCCATAGTTTTCTATGGTCAGATCTCACTTTCACCAAGTGGGTTAGGGGTCTAAATTAGGAGTTAAGAATCTGTGGTCTTCCAGATATTATCAGAACCTCAACTCTCAATAGCTGCAACCAGAAGAGGAGAGGAGTAATAGAACATGTAGTCCAACACCACCAGCAGAGCCAGAGATTCTGTTCTTTGGTCTAAAAGGAACCAGAGGTCAGATAGGCTGTGAGAGTCTATTAAGTTTTATGGTTCAGAGTAATAGAAATACGGGGACGCGGGTGGCGCTGTGGGTAAAAGCCTCAGCGCCTAGGGCTTGCCGATCGAAAGGTCGGCGGCTCGAATCCCCGCGGCGGGGTGCGCTCCCGTTGCTCGGTCCCAGCGCCTGCCAACCTAGCAGTTCGAAAGCACCTCCGAGTGCAAGTAGATAAATAGGGACCGCTTACTAGCAGGAAGGTAAACGGCGTTTCCGTGTGCGGCTCTGGCTCGCCAGAGCAGCGATGTCACGCTGGCCACGTGACCTGAAGTGTCTCCGGACAGCGCTGGCCCCCGGCCTCTTGAGTGAGATGGGCGCACAACCCTAGAGTCTGTCAAGACTGGCCCGTACGGGCAGGGGTACCTTTACCTTTTTTTAATAGAAATCCAGATCTTGTAGCATTCAGAGGAAATGGGAGAGAGCCACCATCAGCTGAGACACAGAATGCTAAGTAGTGTGTGTCAGTTGCAGGGGCATTGTGAGGCATCAGCACAGCTCCATGACACAAGTTTGTATAAAAAATGCATATGCTAATTTCTCTTTAAAGATACAGCCTGACTCTTAGACGAAAGGAATATACTCCAGTCACTTGAAATGAGATTTATTCCCTAAAATATCCTTTGCTTTTCATGAGAATGATAAGGATTTGATCCAAAACATGTCAGGTCCACACATATTATAGCAGAGAGAAGCATATCTTACCTTTACAGATGTTACATCAAAAAGTACAAAAAACAGATGCATACTAGTATGTTGGAAATCAAGCAATTAAAGAAAATACTTGTACTAAACTAAAGAAACAACAACCCTTCGATGCCTGCAGCATCATTTTGGGTCCTATACATGAACTCTAAAAAGAATATATAATAACTCCACTTTTATAGAGCAGACACACCTGGAATATTTCATTTGCTTAGTGGTTAAGAGAGAGGAAAATGCCTTAACCCTCTCTACAGACATTTAAACAGTAGCATTATTTTAAAAAAACAGCTTGGACTGTGATATTGCCATAGCTCAATTCATCTTCTAAAGGAGGGGTGGGCAGAAGTGGGGTTGGAATCTATCTGAAGGTCACCAGATGATTTGCAACAGATCAGCGCAAGTTTGATTCCTTATTATCAAATAACAAAGAAGCACTTCACCTAAATTTTAAAGTTGATAGCATAGAAAATGGAAACCAAAATCCAAGGCCAACTTTGGTTTATCTTAACTGGAATTAAGACAAACACAAAACAATCTCCAGGGCAAAGGCATTATGAAAAGTTGATTACCAATATATGAAACCTTTTAAGGCAAAACAGTCACATTATAAAAAAAGGACAGGAAC